CACGATAGGTTGAGACTCGGTCGTATACGATCAGAGTACCTAATAAAGCTATTCTAACTATTGTTTTGTGTTCTCAATAAGATTTGAAACATATAAAGTGGTGCATCGACCGGGAATCGAACCCGGATCGCCCGCGTGGCAGGCGAGCATTCGATGGAGAAGTATAATAGAATAATTAGACACGTGTGGGAAGATTGGTCCTCTACTTATATAGAAGAGCTGAGAACAAACCAAAAACGATATGATAACGGAAAGAACTACTCCAAATGAACACCAAGAGTAGGCGATATTGTATTTTGCGTGGAGAGCGGATCAAAAAGAAACAAATGGCCATTAGCAAGAATCGAAGAAATTATAGTTTCCCAAGATGGTAACATAAGAACAGTTATAGTACGGAACAACGAAAACCATTATCTTCGGAAATCAGTAAACCACTTAATTCCATTGGAACTCGATCAGAACGAGACCATACTACTGAAAACACACCGCAATGGTGATATGAATCATAAACAGCCAATAAGCGATAAGCGTTACGGTACAGAACCAATCAGAAAAGACCTCGACCTCAATGAACCAATAACGAACGGTTCTTCAGTTGAGGAACCAATCAACATCGAGCCTACTGTATATCAGCAGCCAATTAGAGATGAGCTCGGCGAGAACAGCATTAACCATAAATATTTAGAAGATTGGTGGTTAAGCGAAGAATATAGTGATAATGAACAACAGGAAAGAAATGTGAAAGGGGTTTGGGAAGACAGATTGAGGAATATCCCCAGAAAAAGTTATGATATGTACTATTGAGTTCAAAACAGAAAAAAAAAAAAAAAAAAACAAACAAAATTAGTTTGGAAATTAGCATATTTTTCGTCAAACGTAGCAAATGTGATTAGCATATAAGTATGAGTAGTTGTCAACACATTTGAAAGTAGATTAGCATATAGTAGAGTAGTTGACAGTACATTGACAACGACAGCAATAAATTAGCATATACGTGAAGTGAAGATCAGAGGCGGTGTCGCTCGTCGGA